ACTAAGTAGGAGGGCAACGAGCATGACACCTCCGACAGTGCCTCGTAGACCAGTACTAGACGAGTTGGATCGTTCGGAGGTGGAGTTGGCAGTGGAGGATGTCTCGGCAGTGTTAGCTCTACTTTCGGTTGAACCCACTTTAAGACAGCGGGTCATCGTTGCACAGAAGGGAGATCCCAGCCTGAGCAAGGTTTCAGTATGGTAGGTCAAGGGGATTTTTCTCTTTCTGGAGATACGGCCCTGCTTTATCAGGGGAGACTGTGTGTACCAAGAGACTTCTCTTTAAGAAAGGACCTATTAACCGAGGCTCATAGTACCCCGTTCTCGGTGCATCCTGGGAGCACCAAAATGTATAGGGATCTTAAGATGCACTACTGGTGGCATAACATGATGCGCGAGATTGCCCAGTTTGTTAGTAAATGTCTGACGTGTCAACAGGTGAAAGCCTCAAGGCAGAGACCTGCCGGGTTGCTGCAACCTCTGAGTGTACCGGTGTGGAAATGGGATGACGTAGCCATGGACTTCATTACAGGGTTGCCAATGACGGCTAAAGGTTTCACAATGATCTGGGTAATCGTGCATCGCTTAACAAAGTCGGCACATTTCATACCAGGCAAGGCCACCTTTTCAGTAGAAAGGTGGGCGGAGTTGTATATGCAAGAGATAGTTAGAATCTATGGCATACCAGCATCCATCGTATCAGATCGAGACCCCCGCTTCACGTCAACTTTTTGGCGAAGTTTGCATAAAGCACTTGGGACTCAGCTCAATTTTAGTACGGCATATCATCCCAGACCGATGGCCAGACTGAGCGACTGAATCAGATTTTGGAGGATATGTTGAGGGCTTGCGTACTGGACTTCGGTGGTTCTTGGGACAAATACCTGTTATTAACGGAGTTTGCCTACAACAACAGTTATCAGTCGACTATTGCCATGGCCCCATATGAAGCTTTTGTATGGGAGGAAGTGTAGGTCGCCGGTACATTGGGACGAGGTCGGTGAGAGGGCCCTGTTGGGACCAGAGTTGGTGCAGGAGACTAATGGCGCCATCCAAAGGATTAGGGCAAGAATGCAGATGGCTCAGAGCAGACAGAAGAGTTACGCTGATGTTAGGCGAAGAGCATTGGAGTTTGACGTCGGTGACCACGTCTTTCTTCGTGTGGCACCGGTGAAGGAAGTTCTATGTTTTCGTCAGAAGGGAAAACTCAGCCCAAGATTTATTGGTCCTTTTGAGATCTTGGAGCGCATTGGCCCAGTCGCTTACCAGTTGGCTTTGCCACCGTCGTTGAGTGCAGTGCATAACGTGTTCCACGTGTCCATGCTGAGGAAGTATCTCCATGACCCTTCACACGTCTTGGATTATGAACCACTGCAAGTGGATGAAACCTTGTGTTATAAGGAGCTACCCATTGAGATCGTAGCAAGAGAGACCAAGGTGCTGCGGAATCGGGCAATTGACTTAATGAAGGTCTTTTGTGGAGGAATCACCAAGTGGAGGAAGCCACCTGGGAAAGGGAGGACGAAATTAGAGCCCAGTACCCTGAATTATTCGAACGACGAACTTTCGAGGATGAAAGTTTCTAAAGGGGGGAAGTCTGTAACGCCCCGCGTTACTCAGGATCCAGTCGTGGAGTTTATCAAAGGAAATCCGCTACAAGATTCAAAGGAGCAATAGAAGATGGCGCGGAAAGCAGATCGGTTCATACTCCGAGATGGAGCGTTGTACCGACATGGCTTCTCCCTGCCTTTGCTTAAGTGTGTAACTCTTGAAGAAGGCCTTTACATCCTTAGGGAAATCCATGAAGGAGTGTGTGGAAACCACTATGGCGCCAGGTCGTTGTCGACCAAGGTGGTTCGGCAAGAGTACTATTGGCCCACT